CTACTTCGAATTGTAACACTCTCTTCCTAGTTTTTGCATAGTTTCAGGACGAGAAATGGCTTTTCCCTATCCCCGTCGATTCTCTCCCCCTCCCCCAGGAGCCTTACTCTTCCCTTCAGCCCCGTCGCCCACGTCCAGAAGTCCTTCCTGGATCCACCTATATCGAGCTACTTTTGAGTGTCTTCATACAGTAAAATAAGAAAGAGAAAGCTTGGAATTTTTGAAATACCCCGCAATTGCCCCGTCTGATTCTCCTTTCATATCAGCCTCACTTATCTGTACTGCTCTTTATCTATATCCTACACACATTTGTTAGCAAATATGACAGGTAGTGCCAAAAAATCGTAAGCAACCAGCTTTGTTTGTTGTTTTTTTTTTCTTGATATTTTAGTAATTGACTTGAAAATAATTCTTGAAAGTACTCGGGGCGATATTTGCATTTCGCAGACTCAAATTAGGTTCCACCAAAGATTGGACCAAACAAACAGTTAATGTTGTAAATTGCGCCAGCGGGTTTGGTTTAGCAAGGTAGCACTGTTATTGTTTTCTACCACTCTGCTGTTTGCAAAACCAGTCCCCCAACGATCCGTTCATTCTTTTCGATGGCAAATTGATACTAGCATATGCCAGGCAATTAAACCCATCATCAGCTTGCTTGTAAGCAGTCCTCGAAAGGAAAAGCCACTTGAAAATCTTTGCTTTGTTTTTAACTTACATTAAGCAAAAAGGCACAAAACTTGGAAGAAAAATTTACAAAATCGACAAAAATCGTGGGAAATATTCGAAAAATTTGTAAGAACTGCAGAGATTTATAAAGCACATGAAAGAAGTCTAGTGGTTGTTGGTTACTGTTGGCATTTGCTACCATTCGTGGGCTACTTTCTGAGTGCCCTGACCGCCCTTAGCACTTACAGAAAGGGACATTGGGCTCAGAACAAAACCTTAAAATATTTAAAAACTAATTACAAGCAGAGAATATATTATATAATATATAGCAGAGAATATGTTATAAAGCATTATATTAAAAAATTCTGTCAGGACCTTTTTTGTAGAAGCATTTTGGAACTAGTTAAATATTTTTGATAAATTCCTATATCCCGGAGCAGCTGCTACAGGGGAAATTAATGATTAAGAAAGTGCTGAGACACACACTAACTTGTCAAAGCAATATGGTCGTAAAGTAGTGGAATATTGCTGGTCTGAA